TTGAAAGTCATGATCAGACCTTTTGCCAAGTTTGGCATTGAAATCTCCTAGGATCCAGATTTCATGTCTTGCAGGCACATTAATTGCTTCCTGAAGCTCACAGTAAAAATGGTCAGTAGCAGCCGGATTTGATAACGTTTTTGGGTTGGTTGGACTGTAACAGTTCACGATTCGCATTTTGCATGGTGGTTTGTTAACAAACTTGGATGGAATAAAAAAGTCCATGAAAGCAACTCGATCGCTGATCTGATGAAATGAACGGAAATAATGATTTACACGAGCGTTGATTAAGAAACCCAGTCCACCATGACGTCCTGTCTTCTGATCAAACAAAAGGAGGCGATGATTTCCTGGTAGTTTCTTATCCTCAAACTGACAAATTTTAGTCTCTTGAATCCCTATAATGTCCAAGTCATACCTGTCACAGTCGTTAGCAAGCAAGCACTGCTTGTCTGTCTTCGTCAAACCTCGAACATTCCAAGTTGCAAAGCCGAGAAGAGCAATTGGTAACAAGGATTACGGTGACCAGTTCTACAGCGATCGTTCGCGTAGGGGTAGATAGTCTGGTTGCAGCAACCATGCGAGTCCATCACGAACTACACGCCATCCTAAAAAATATTAGTATTACGTAATCAGCTGAGGGGGTTGGGGTTTTCAAATGATTATTGATTACGCTAGTGTAATATTGACATAAATATAATAGCTATGGTAAAACTGATTACGGGGTTTGTGAACGACCCCTCATTGTTAGTAATCAGTTCCACTTCCATACATAGCTATTAAGCTATTAGTATTAGTATTATGTCACAATCACACTAGCGAGTGTAATAATTTGGAAAACCCCGGCCGGCGGCATCAGGCCCTTTATATAATTATAATATGTAAACGACCCCTTGATTGAGTGATATTTAATATTTTGTTCCACTCAGCCGAATATTTGATAAATCGAATGTAATAGTTGGGTGACTTCGACGAGCCGCGCAATCTTATAGTTATATCATTTGCATTCTCACATAAATTATAATTAATTTTCACACACACACACACACACACACACACACACACACACACACACACACACACACACACACACACACACACACACACACACACACACACACACACACACACACACACACACACAGAGAGTTAGGATTACTGTTACTGTGATAGGATATGATATCTTGTGCTATATGTAGCGACGACATCTGACGCAGCGACATATAGCGCTAGATAGCGACATCTAGCGCTAAATAGCCTGGACTGTCACGACCCAAAATTCTTCGCTATTTAGCGCTATCTAACGCTATTTAGCGCTATCTAACGCTATCTAGCGCTATATGTCGCAACGACATCTGACGCTATATAGCGCTATCTGGCGCTATATAGCGCTAGATAGCGTGAACTGTCGTAAACTGACTTATCCCGCTATCCAGCGCTTGATGTCGCCTGCGTCAGATGTCGTCGCGACAGATGTCGTCAGATGACGTCAGATATCGCTAGATGGCGTCAGATAGCGTCAGATGTCGCGGCAACATATGACGCTAGATGACGCTAGATGTCGTCCCTAGAATTTTTATGAAAATAGCGCTATCTGTCGCCTGGCGTCAGTGCTGCGTGCTTAGCGTCATCTAGCGTCATCTAGCGTCATCTAACGTCATATAGCGTCATATAGCGTCATATAGCGCTAGATAGCGCTAGATAGCGCTAGATAGCGCTAGATAGCGACATTCGAAAGGTGCCGTGCACTTAGCGACAATGTCGCTAATTGGCGTCATCTAGCGTCATCTAGCGTCATCTAGCGTCATCTATCATCATCTGGCGATATTTCACGCTAGATGACGCTAGATGACACTAGATGACGTCATATGTCGAATTTCAACTATCAGTAAAGGTCCGAATCTACTGGTAATCAAAAGGTAAGTTTAGATAACTTTACTTAATTAATTAATGTTGAATTGCCTGTCATTCTGTTTGTTATCAGGATATTTCAGAATTACAAAAAATTTACATTGAGATATATATTTGGGTTTTACTGTAACATTTTTAATTTCATCTATTGAGGGAAGGTAATTGTATATTACAATTTACTAAATATTTGATTTAATTCAGGTTGACTTCAAAATAGTGGATCTCGCATCGTTTTCCGGGATTCAAAAGTTTGCTGATGAATACAAAGCAACCCACACAGAACTAGACATACTTGTAAATAACGCTGGTGTTGTTACTCCCCCATTTAATGAAACTGAGCAGGGAATCGAGGCAACTACTGGGATCAACTATCTTGGACACTTTTTCTTAACTCACTTGTTAAAAGACCTCTTGATCTCAGTAAAGGGTAGAGTAGTGGTTGTAGCCTCTGATGCATACGACAGTGGGAGAATAACGCTTGACATGATGGAAGGAGAAAACCCAGCAATATTCATGCCAGTTGCTAAGTCAGGGTTACTACAGTATGGTTTAAGCAACACTTGTCGTGTGCTGTTTGCAAAGGAATTGATAGAGCAATATCCTGACCTAACCTGCGTGTCCTTACATCCAGGATTTGTGAAAACAAACCTTGTTCGCTCTATGGGCAGCTGTTTCCAATGCATTGGTAAATGTTTTGCACCCTGTCTAAAGTCCCCTGATGAAGGAGCTGTTACTACGCTACATTGTGCTACAACTGATGTAAGTGCAGGTAATGGGATGTACTATAAGGATAGTAAGATACAGCCTGTAAAGGACGGTTTTGTAAGCAAAGAGTTACAGAAGAAGCTGTGTGGGGTAAGCATGGTGGTTGTGGAGAAATTTATGAGTAAGTGAGGTCAGAGCTGTCAGATTAACTATTTATATTAGGTTTATATCAGATTAATTGTTATGTAGAACGAGATATTTTTTAGAATTAAATCTTTTAGAAGTAAATCCGAGAAGTAAAGCTTACATGTACATACATTGTTGATAATATTACTTTCAGTGCTACAACTGCAACTGTCTGATAATATTATGTGATATATTGGTATAATTTTAGTTGCAGTTTTTTAACCCCTCTTGTATCGTACTATTATATTTTGAACTCAATTCAGAATGTATATTAAACACGTCTGTAGTTAGCCTAATTAGTTTATATTCTTTGTTTATGTAATGAGATTTTGTAATTTACCTAAACCTTATCTTAAAGTTAAATTCATTGTTTTGATAAATTTAGTTACAGTTTTCATACTATTGCATTCCATATTTTCTGAAGTATCTCAGTGACCTTACACTAAGATTTTCCAAAATTTTTGATTGATAACATTATAATTTAAGAAGAGATATGATGAGCCAAACTTTGGTCACTCCGTAACGCTGTGTTACGGAGTGACAAATTCAAGGGACATTGTCACTCCGTAACGAATTTTTTTATTGACATTTCAAGATTTACAGTTGTTGTTGTAGTTACCATTTAAAATAATCGTGTCGTTGTAGTTACTATTTAAAATAATCGTAGTTAGGATTTAAAATAATCGTAGTTACGATTTAAAATAATCGTGTTGTTGTAGTTATGATTTAAGATAATCGTAGTTACGATTTAAGATAATCGTGTTGTTGTAGTTAGTACAGTTTAAAATAACCGTGTTGTTGTAGTTACAATCTAAAATAATCGTAGTTAAGATTTAAAATAATCGTGTTGTTGTAGTTACGATTTAAGATAATTGTGTTGTTGTAGTTACAATCTAAAATAATCGTGTCGTTGTAGTTACGATTTAAAATAATCGTGTTGTAGTTAGTACAGTTTGAAAATAATCGTGTTGTCGTTGCGGTTTGAAATGATCGAATAGTAGTTATAACGCAATTATTGTATTTAGTGTTTAGATTAATTTACAGTTCTCTATACTCCACTAAGACGTTTGAATTTTTCCAGGCTCTATTTTCAAAATAAGACTTTCAAAGTTCATCACGTTCAGTAAATTGAAAAGTGGTCACATGCTCGCTTCAGATGGTATTGATCTGGTTTGTAATATTGATGCCAGATTCCATAATACCTACCTTGTCAGCTGACACCACCGTCAAGGGTTGATTTTTTATCACATGATCGTATTTTTATTCATAATTGTGATCATGACTAATGAATTGTACCAGATTTGATTTATTTCACATCAATAAATTTGTGTGTCTACCTTGTTTAAGTGTTATCTATCTAATTTTGAAAAGAATTCTACTATTTAGAGCCAGGAACAGGATGAAAAATGATGAAAAATTCGAGTGGAATGAGAGACTGTTTGATGCGTCACTCCGTAACAGTCACTCCGTAACAATCCCCAAAATTTTTGAAGCCTCGAATTTTTTATTCCTTAGGCAATACACACTTTTTCTTGATTAATTATTATAGAAAATGTCTGGTAAGTGCCTGGAAGACTGGTAAGTGCCTGGAAGACGTCAAAATGCAACTTTCAAGAATATCTGAGATAAAAATTAGGTCAGAATATGGGTGTACCAAAATCTGAAAATTTATCTAGTCACTCCGTAACGAAATTTCGACTTTTAATTACTCAAAAACGGATTGATTTCTCACTATTTTCTTTGGCAGATATGTAAATCATAGGTTTGAAAAGCCTTAGAAACATATTAGAACCTGTTTTCTTGGACATTTTTCGGAAAAAATGGGTAAAATTGTCACTCCGTAACATTCTATAGTTTTGAAATATGCCCACTTGTATTGTTATATTTAATCTGTAACCTAGGTTTTTCATTTGCTTCACATCTCTGTAGGATTAAAACGTTGTGACTATGAAACAGGTGCAGATGCAGTATATAGTAGCTCAGTTGGTTCGAAATTAAGGTTTGGCATCTATTTCTGTTAAGTTTTTGTTATCTCGGCAGTTGGTCCTATTATTAGCCATTCGGGATATTGCGTTCTTCAACTAAAAATGATTAAGAAATCAGATTATCATCATTTAATCATGTTATCTTATTGAAACATCTCAATACCTCTAACATGTAACTTCCTATTTAACTAGCTATTTCTTATTAGCTTAACTATGAGTGGCGGTGTCTATGGAGGAGATGAGGTGGGAGCAGTTTGTTTTGACATAGGTTCTCACACAGTACGAGCTGGGTTCGCTGGTGAAGACGCTCCCAAAGTTAGTTTTATTATTCTGAAAATGATTTATTTATCTATTTTTTATTCGTTTTTACGTTTTCCAGGAAACTTATCTATTGATCACAAGTAAATAACCTAAGTTTCCGCTGACCGATCAAATATTTTAATATCAGTATTAGAGTATTGGTATCGAGGAGAACAGTTGATCAAATTACTGTGTTTCGCCAGGCTAACATCCCCACACATATGCTGACTGGAGACGAGAGCACAAAGTATCACATAGGCACTAACGCTCTCAGCTTCCCTCGAGATAAATCTGAAGTTGTCATGCCTCTCAAAGATGGGATGAGTAAGTTTTCAGTATTGAAACTCACATTTATCTTAAAATTAAGTTCATGGAATCTAACTAGGAATATAAGTAACAACAATCATTTCCACGTGATGGTGACCTCGATTCAGGACTTAACTTCTATAATCTAAACCACAATGACAACAACAATTGCACAACATGTTACCTCGTGATAACATGTTGCTTTATTCAGTTGACAACTGGGAGCAATGTGAGGCTATGTTAGACTACGTGTACACAAAGTGTCTCAGTGTAGACAGTGCTGAGCATCCGGTCATGATGAGCGAAGTTGCAGTGAGTTATAATTCGTAACTAGTGACTAGTAGTGTAGTTCGTAACTAGTGGCTAGTTCGTAACTAGTGACTAGTAGTATAGTTCGTAACTAGTGGCTAGTTCGTAACTAGTGACTAGTAGTATAGTTCGTAACTAGTGGCTAGTTCGTAACTAGTGACTAGTAGTATAGTTCGTAACTAGTGGCTAGTTCGTAACTAGTGACTAGTAGTATAATTCGTTAAGAATATAATATATTCTTAAATTATTAATTGATTGCTAAATTATTTGATTGTTGATATAATAATTAATGCGTGATTTAATTGTTAACAAAAGAACAAAGTGTTCTGATTGTTAGATTGTTAGAATGTAAGGAAAAAGGTTTTAATCCTAAGGGGCTTGTGTATCGTTTGCCAACAGAACAAGCAATAGATCCTTGCTTCTCATTCTCAATTCTTTCCAGTGGAACAGACCTGCGATCCGACACAAAACATGCGAGATGATGTTTGAGAAGTACAACGTGCCGGCGTTCTACCTCTGTAAGAACGCAGTGTTAGCGGCGTTTGCGAGCGGGCGCTCCACAGCCCTGGTCCTAGATACTGGTTCCGTGCAGACTACTGCTATCCCTGTACACGACGGTTATGTTCTTCAACATGGTCAGTGCTTTTAGGGATACTTTTGCTTTCAGTCTCGTCCGGCCTTTCTTTTCCTAATAATAATTAATTAGTAATAATTAATAATTTACATATTGTGTAATTATGTCTTACAAGATGTCTTGTCCTAGAAAGCTTAGTTATATCTCAAGCTCTTTGCTCGTTCTTGATGAGGCTGGAAGATGTTATTGTCAGCCAGATTGATTCGTAGTCCCTCCAACCTCATCAAAGCTAATGTTGGTCAAGGAGCTTGAGATATATACTACATAGAATAGCTCAACACTCACCAGAGCAAATCAATATACCTTTTTGTTTAAACAATAGTCACTAACTTTTATAAATCGTTATGTATTGAATGTAGCTTAATGAGGGTTGTGGAATTTATGAGATATAAATTATCAGGTCAGTGTTACACTAAAACGTCCTTCTATTCTTCGTTCGCGTTATAGACTATGTGAATTAGTGGACTCTATTACAATTCAATATGCTAAATTTAGAATTGCATTTTACTCATTATTCTGCACAAATCATAATATTTCGAATAGTAAAAAAGAATACAGAACTTGGCCAGCCAAGATTTAGAAGTAATACGTTTTATCAGTGGTAGCAGTATTATTAATGTCACGTTCTGGCGTCTCATCAACAAACCCCATCACGTGATACGCTGGCCCTGAAATTCAATAAGCGTGTTCCTAGTACCACACCTCTGTTTTGTTCAAGCAAGCAGAATACTAATATATAACTTGGAAATGGTGGCGAACTCATGTGACAACAAACTGATAAGGAGGCGGTGGGGGATCACGTGTGGATCATGTTACAGATAATGTGGAACACAAGCAACAATATTTCATAATGTTGTTTTGTCCAGTTTTTAGGTTTGTAGTATAGAAGTCTGCTTGCATGTTTTGGTGGTTGGTGCTTTTTTTTTCACAGTATACAATATTAATTGCCTTTCGTTAATTAGGAACTCCTGGCTGTTCACGGTTTAAAATATCCTTCTTCGGTACTTAAAGTCAATCCTTTGAACATAATGTTAATTTGCAGTTTGCTGAGTACACATATGTTAATATTGCAATGATACATGTTATATGTGTTTGTTACCATCAATCTATTTCACATATGTTTGCGGTTTGTAAAAACAAAACAATATTATCAGTCACTAAGATCAGTCTGCTTCGTTATAATGTTCGTTTTACCACTCATTGACATGACTCTGAATTAAACCCTCAACAGGATCAGATGTCATGAAGGCTATCCCACTAATACTACTATTATCTCTCACCCAGTCTATACGTTCCAATTCACGCTTCAAACGGAAACACAGTTACACAGATCTTAGGGAACGGGGTAAAGAAACTACTGAACTTCCTGCTTATATAGTTGGTGATAAGACTTTGGAAAAAGGTCCTGAACTGGTTGATGATAAGGCGTCTGCTGTAATAGTTCCCGCTGTTCTACCAGATAAGGCACCAGATAACAATGATAAGGCATCTGATACAGTAATTCCTGGTGAGGTGCCTGATGATGATGATGATAAGTCACCAGATGATGGTGATGATAAGTCACCAGATGATGGTGATGATAAGTCACCAGATGATGGTGATGATAAGTCACCAGATGATGGTGATGATAAAGCACCTGATGATAATCCTTCTGTTGAACCAAGTGGACCACCCCCCATAACGATGCACGGCTGGTTTAACGTGTCAGCTCTAGAAGATGTACCCTGCAACCTGGACACAACCCCTCTACAGATAAAAACAGACGGTCAACTGACCGGGGAAAAAGAGATAAACTTAGAAGTAGCGTTTTTTGGAGGAAGTAAGAAGGCCCTGACCATAAACCTGGAAACCAGTCCTAAGATTCAGATAAGTGGCTGCACTGAAACTCCTATCCCACTGACTAACATTTCACATTTAGTTGGGGCGGAAGCGGTTGTTTGGACGGTATCTAAAAGTGAGACCAGCTTGACTGTTATCAGTAACAGTGTTGAGTCTCTGAAATACGAATTCGGCACTTCAACTGCCAACTGTTCAACTCACTGGAAGGGGAACACCACACATGTCACCTTCACTACATCAGACACCGCCTCTCACGAGCGCAGACTAAAGCCCCAGAACTGCACCTCCATTCCCGGTGACTGGCACACCCACTTCCGTTCTGATAAAAGCTTCCCAGTGAGCTCTGGAACTGTTGTGGGAGTGACATGTGTCCACGGAGACTGGAACATTGGGGATTCCTCCATCGTTTGTAATACTAACCTCTACTCAGACTTTGAGTACAACAAGGCCCCCTGGTGTTTGGAGATGGACACTTTTGGATCTGAAGTTATAGAAGGTTCCAGAACTACCCTAACTTGTAAACTTAAAAACGTGCCTAGAGAGGGGAACTACCGGGTTAGTTGGAAAGTTAACAAGACCAAGACTACAGACGGAGTGGAGACGGGGGATGTAGTGGACGGTCAGATGCACTCTACTATTGACGTGAAGATGAGTTCAGCAGGGTTGGGGTATTGGTGTTACGTTGAGGGGTATGAAGATTGGGGGAGAGAGGTCGTACTGAATACCTTCACCATGAAGGATGATAGCAAGGATTCTAGAGTTGGTGATACTGCGGTGCTAGGATGTTTTGTAGAGGAGATTACTGTTCATCCTAACTCTCCGAAAGTAGTGTGGAAAATGGGCGACAACGTGCTCACAACAGGTTCGGATTACAAGATAACAACCCAAATGGAGCCCAAAAATTCCCAACTGCAATCGTTTCTGCAAGTCAAGAACCCGTCAGGAGATTACAATTTCTCTTGTGAAGTAACCTCAGGCCTGTATCCTACCTCTCCTACCGCAACAAAAGTAGTCTTATTAGACACATACAAAATGTCTACTGAGTGCGTTATAAGAAACAAAGATCAAAGTGTGGTGGCGTGCCAAGTTGAGGACATAGCAGAAGAGATGAAGATAAGATGGTACAAGGAGGAGTCCGAGCTGACAGGTGCGCTACAGTCGTTTGAGCAGGGAGTACAGCGCAGCGTGCTGTTTCTTAAACCGGGAATATGGGATCACGATATTTATACATGCCGAGTGGACTCGATCAAGAGACCTGAGTCTGCGTCCAGCAACCAGTTTGTTAATCTGGCAACCATAGAACCTGAAAATGGGGGGACCTCACTGCTGGCATCTCCCGTTATTTGGTGCCTTGTAGCTGGTTCTGTTGTGCTGTGCGTGGGAGTTGGGATGCTGTCTGTTTACCTTTTTAAAGTACGCAAAAGAATGGAAACGCTGATGTTCCGGCTGAGTACGCGCGAGAAAATTGATTCAATTTCTGAGAGACCCGGAACTATTCTGAGAAACAGGACTGTTAAAAGAGATGCTGAGTCCCTGAGACAGACTCTAGATAGGAGACCCCCTAATGTTCAGAGAATGTCTGAGATTGCTGATAGAGGGTCGGATGATGTTTTTGATTGATTTTAAGTAGTTTTTGTATTTTATTTTGATTTCTGGTCGTTTAGGTGTATATAGCAAGTTTTAAATTGTGCTTTCGTTTTGTAGCGAAATGGCGTTCAGTCAATTTATTGTACAAATTTGTATTCCTCAACTTTATCAGATTTATGTCTTCGTTTGGTAGTGTCAGGCCATTTTTTGCGTTTGAGGAATATTTAAATAAATTGAGATATTGTTTTATTTTGATAAGACATGAATACAAATGTTGATACGATTTGGATGATAAGGTAATCGCTTAGTAATAGGATTGTAAACATCATAGTCACATTTATATTTACTTTTGCTCCTCTGCAATAGATTGATGTGACAGAAATGTGATACGACGATGTAATTTTGCGTTGTTCCCTTTTTATTGATTTCAGCTTTTTCAACGTGCGCTTTTCATTTGTTGTTTATCTATGGAGTAAGTTCAAATGTACGCTGATAATTTGGTTCTCATCGTCGTACCCTATTGTAATTACTAATTTTGTTTTACCTCCAAATTGTTTTCAGGAATCGTCAAATCACCACTCGCTGGAAACTTCTTGGCAGCGCAGATGAGGTTTGTGATATTGTAACTTAATCATGGTGTTTTTGGAATTGGTGCTCAACTTATCTTTTAAATCAAGTTTTACAAAAATTCCGTTTAATCTAAGATTATTAGATTGACTAGATCAATATCAAAAGATTCCTTTTATTAAGGCAAATTAATGGTGCTATGCTCACAGCTTAATGTGCATATGTGGTTCATTCCATCGCTAGTTAAGTTAGACATTAGCTTTTAGAAAATTGTGCTAAATTTTGAGTTGGACATCACGTACAATTTTGAGAACATCCACTGGAACTTGAGAAATCGTCTACTGTGTTTGTAACGCGCATGGGTTGGATTATTAGGAAGTTCACGTTTTGATCACTAACCACACCGCGCGATACTTAATGCGCGCATTTGGAACTGATTTTAGTTTGCTTTGTTGGCGCCTATTTCAACAAGTTGTGTCAATAACGATTTACCACACAAAATTGCCATTAAGCGAACGTTAAAACAATCACATATTTTACTCAGAGAGCACCTGAAGGAGCAGGAAATTGAGGTAGTACCGACATACAAAATAGCATCCAAGGAAGCGGTGAAAGACGGTGATCCACCCGTGTGGACCGCTAAGAAAAACATACCTGCAGTATCTTCATCATATCACAACTACATGGTGGATAACGTTATAGAAGACTTGATGCAACATGTCCTTCAGGTCACGACAGACCAGCATCCGACGATGATGTAAGTTCGACCATTGTATAGTTGATTTAAAAACTTATTTTCTATTGCTGTTGTATTAGCCTTGTTCAGTTTAAGAGCAGTCCGAAAATAATATCTGTTACACTCCTTCTTCAGCTCAACATGATACCAGCGACGAACTTTGAGTTTCCTAACGGGTACAGTGCTATGTTCGGAGCTGAGCGGTTCAAGATTCCAGAGCCTCTGTTCGATCCTATCGGAACCAATCTTCGGATTTTGGGAGGTAAGGGAATATTTGCAAATTACGTAAATTTTGGGTCGTTTCTCTGTGACATCTCATTTTTGCACACACTGAATTGTAGGTTTATAACCTACCAAGTATCACCCGTTAAACACTGCACCAATATTTGATAACTGATCAGCGATAATTAATTCATTGAAGTGTCTGATTTGAATTATTATGAGGTTTCAGAAGTTATTTCACTATTATAAAGCAATGAAAGGCATTAGTTTGGTCAAATCAAACGGAACATATGCTATCAGACTTTCAACTGACTATGGCAGGGTTAAAACAGTTTTAACGCTAGCAACGATCCCCTTTTACATAGTTCCACTCAATAAATGTAATAGATTTGTAGTGTTGTAATTAGTTTAAAACCTCTGAATTTGTGATCAGGTGACATGTTAGCGATGCAGCATGTCGTATCTAGCAGTATCAGTATGTGTGATGTAGATGTGCGACCCAGTTTGTGGAGTAATATCATACTTGCTGGAGGCACCACTCTTATGAGCGTGAGTTACAGATTTGTTATTATTTTATTATTTTATTATTTTATTATTTTATTATTTTATTATTTTATTATTTTATTATTTTATTATTTTATTATTTTATTATTTTATTATTTTATTATTTTATTATTTTATTATTTTATCATTTTATTATTTTATTATTTTATTATTTTATTATTTTATTATTTTATTATTTTATTATTTTATTATTTTATTATTTTATTATTTTATTATTTTATTATTTTATTATTTTACGAATATTAGACGTGTATTTCCCTTATTTGCTTCCCAGAATCTATATTTGCAGAGTTAAACAAATAAAATGTTTCATTATTGTTCATTTCCAGGGTTTCAGCGAGAGGTTAACGACGGAGTGTGCGGCTAAAACTACCTCCAGCATGAAAGTGAAGGTGGTAACGGGAGGGAACACATCTGATAGAATATTCTCTGCTTGGGTCGGTGCTTCTATTCTTGCTTCTCTTGGAAACTTCCAGGTTAGTGAGGGAAATTCACCTTTCTGTGAAAATATATTCGGTTCAATCAAATATTGATATCGTTTCAGATTGTTGTTTATCTACCCTGTTACTTCCCAATTATTTATTAATTGTACTATTTTTCTAGGAACTGTGGATAAGTAAACAAGAGTACGAAGAAGAGGGTAAACTAGTCGTGGACAGAAAGTGTCCATGAAACACATATAGCTAAATAAACAATCTTCTAAAGTGACGTCATCACTACCACGTGACGTCATCACTACCACGATACCAGTGACGTCATAACCTTATTATAAAGAAAGCACCATCCATGTCGGGCTGATTGTTGGGTACGATGAAGGACAAGATCATTAGCTTAATCACACATTTTAATTTAATGTTGACTCTTATTATTTGTTTTATCGTAAATAGGCGGATTTTCAGATAATCTTTAGCTTTCTTCCGAATTTAAGCATGTTTCCTATTGACTGTTATTGACTGTTTGGCGCTGTGTCATTGGTTATTCGAACATCCATTACTAACTGAATGATAGTACAACTTTTTATCAGATAATCTTTATCGGAAGTTTATTGGCGAGATTTTTCATAAGAACATGTCCCTACAGTTAAATTGGAAGAAAGTAATAAAGTAGTATTGATCAAATAATCGTAAGTGATACCCTGTTATGAATATGATTCGTCCGATGATAAAAGAGCATACACCTTTCTTAGCCTATATTGTAACCATTATCGTTTCTAACTTATATTTCTCAAGATAGTTATTAATGGTTTGCCGACGATGTAATTATATTTTTTATTTAAATATATACTCAAATAACAAATTGATTGACACCTTGTTACTGCAAATAATTAAATAAATAAATATTGGTAGAAATACGTCACAAATAGTCCAACATTCAAACGAATCGTAAACCTTATCGTAAACCTTATCGTAAACCTTATCGTTTCTAACTTATATTTCTCAAGATAGTTATTAATGGTTTGCCGACGATGTAATTATATTTTTTATTTAAATATATACTCAAATAACAAATTGATTGACACCTTGTTACTGCAAATAATTAAATAAATAAATATTGGTAGAAATACGTCACAAATAGTCCAACATTCAAACGAATCGTAAACCTACTATACATTAAGTATAAATAAACTGTACTAAAAACCCAGTAACAAACAAAATGTCATCACAAATATAAACCAAATAAACGAAAACACGGAATTCAAAATTTGGCCAAAAATGTATCTAGGAGCATATCATATATAACAAATCTAGGTTGATTTTAATTGTGGGGAAAATGCACCCTTGAGTCTTGACCCTGTCATCAACAGCAAAAATCGAAGTTCCTGATCCATTATTATTTACTTACGTACCCCAATTCCTCGAACATCAAGATTTTCCTTTGGCAACATCGCACTGTTTAATCTCCCTGTGCCCCTCGTTTATAAGAGTTAAATGAGCCTTGTAGAGTAACGACAGGCCTACTCCACGTCTCTTAGCTGCTGACCAGCTCTTGCTTACCCCGTAGAACTCTCCCCGCTTCTCGTTTGCCAGCTTCTTCAGTCCTGGGAGATGTAACTTTAATTAATCCTTCTACCCCCTATTCGCCCCTTTCTAGCCACAATCTAGCCTTGGAGGGCTAACATTTGTGGAAACAGCTGCCTGGTTGCTCAGTAGTCATAATTTTTTAGTAAGTTATTTAATTTACTAGTTAAGTAACTATAGATGCAATTTCTCATCAGTATATTAACTACTAATACTATTGCAGCTGCAGGCGAGCAGCTGCAATATTAGTTGCCCCTTGTTGCAGCCCCCTAATTTATCAAAAAGTAGGTCTCGTGGCGTGATACTGATACAAAAAATTAGGGGATATATGAAATAATTTATTTATAGACTATAGTACTATCTTAACTCTATCAGTATTGGTTACTACTATAAGGTAACTATGGTTACTATGGACATGGTTACTATGGTTACTACCTATGCATCCTATCATAACACCCTCGCGTGTGAAGGCCTCCTCCGCTATAGTATTGTTGTACACGTGAAGACTTACTACTCCTCTTCCACTCGTCCAAATAGATCGGATCTTCCGCAACTTCTCGCTGTCCTGTAGATTGAGCAAGAGTTAAATTCATTGAATGCCCAAACTGTGATAAACGACCCGGGGCAGCACTATATACTCGAAAATTCTGTTTTAATATTAGCTGATAGTGGTTTAAATGTAACAAGAATTGCGCCCGTTGTTTCGTTTTGGCGGACGCTAGATTTCCATTTCACTATAACTATTAATATAAGCTCTAATCAGCTCACCTTATAATAATAATATTGAAACATCAGTAGACTACGCGTGCCACATTCAAGTTGGGCTTATTACAAAATACTATACATTACTAGTATAGGGGGGGGGGGGGGGGGGGGTCCACGTTAAAAAAAGTTAAAAAAGTTAAACTAATTAATGTTAAATTTCAAAATTCAGGCTTAGAAAGTTTAACTTTTTTAACATGAATTCAAATTTGGGTTGAAATTGCAATGGAGTGAATATTCTAGACTAGTTTACTTTTAGGTCATGCGTTGGTATTTTTGTTCATTAGTCACTACATGTAGGAATATAGGAATGCCCATGACAAGAGTAAAACAGTCATATAACATAGGTACAACCGATAAATAATTGATACATTTGATCATTACAATAATAAATTATAATTCATAGAAATATAAACAGCTGATTCATAAATAATTTTAAAAAAACAACAGATTCCATTCACAGTGTCAACACTGAAAATAGGGCTATGATAATCTATATCATTAAATCTAGTGATACTAATCGTAATGAATTAATAACTGAATAAAATTCTAATGATGTTTCATAAAAGTTATCGCTTAAACAAAGAGTCACTGTGTCACGATATTATATTACAAAATTTAAAATAGTGTCTAATGATATTTCATAAAAGTTATCGCTCAAACAATGAGTCAATTTGTCACGATATTATATTACAAAGTTAAAAAGAGTCACGTCTAATGATGTTTCAATGTAAAAGTTATCGCTCAAACAATTTGTCAATATATTATATTACAAAATTAAAAAACAGTGTCAATGAAGTAAAAATTTTACAGGTGTTACTGTAATAACGTAAATAAAAGAACTTGAGGTTCTAATTTGAAGTTACTTATATCATTTAACCTGAATATAAAAGTCTATCATTAAAATAATTTTCACTATAGTGCAGCAGAGTCCTTATCGTCGTTCATATATTTTAGAACTTCACTTGTAATACGATTAACATCATACGGTTGAGGAATCTTCATTATATCACGACATACATCATTATTCAGTAATGAAAATAGATGTTCCTCAATAATCTCTTCCTCGGACATTCCTGATGTCCCAAGACTAGGGAGGCTACCTCTTATGGCCAAACAACTGGCTAAAAAAAGCACAAATCCTTCAGTACTGATCCTGAGATCGCTGAACTGTCACTTGAACGCAAGCAGCTGATGATTGCGAATATGCAGAACAAATTCCCGACCAACAGGAAGCATGTCAAGACCAACATCAACCAGCTGAGACGCCCGGAGATACTTTGGAGCCTCTAAGATACTCGCCAAAGGATATGTTAGACCAGCTCTAACCGTCCACAACCCTGCTGGGAATATCGCAGGTACTAATGAGGAGAAAGCGAGGATTATTAAGGAGAGCGATCGTCATCATTTAAAATCGATTTATTTTAATTTACGTTCATGACCGCTTATACGCCCTGTTACAACATGCTTCTCAATTCCCACCAGCACAGAGGTCCCAAAATAGTTCACACACCGAGTTAGAGCGCTCCGTATCGATTTCAAAGCCACGCAATGAGGAGGCATGGAGAGGTTATGTCTGGCCGGGGGCAATCACTTAACGTGTATAAACAGTGTAAACAGATTACTAAATCATCGCATATCTCCAGTTGTGGTTGTTTGTTTTGTTCCGGGGTTTGACCTGAGTGTACTGTAGAGACGATTTTCTGTTCATTTCTCCAGTAACCAATAAGCGGTAAACGGTAATAATTGGCATAAACCATCGTTATGTTTTCTTTCTATTTTTTGGCGGATAAATCAGAAACTAGGCATTTGCTTTTCAATTGTAGTGACTACTGTATTAGTTTACGAGTTTTCTCACAGCAGGACTGTTTTCTTTCGTGCTTTTTCAATGTAATATCGGGTCAACTTCAAGGTTAACAGTATCTACCGTATTTTCTTTGTACATACAACTTGCCGTGTTAACATTAACAATATCTACCGTACTTTTGATGTGGTACCGTGTAAAAAGTACCTACAGCATGGCAAAACATCCATCGTTCAACCGAGCTACTGTGCCATGCCCGAGCATCGAAGTTTGAATATACCGGGTGGTAAAATTCGTGAGATCGACAGTCTTTTGAACGCGGTGTACCTTCTATAAATAATATCGTATCAGAATACGCATTATTATTCGATAACCTGTCATCCAAAAAATATTCTTGCAGTACAGTGGTTCCTATGGAAATATAAGGTTGTTAGCAGCTACAAGTATAACTTCTACACGAATCCGGACTCCAAGATGCCTTCTTCATGTGTGGTAGGGGGTTGTACACACAGAAGTGGTCAGAACAGTAAGCGGCCTGGACGACAGTTTTTGATATTTCACTGCGTTCCCACAGACGACAGAATGAGAAAGAGATGGGACCTGAGGATAAATCGACAACCTGAACATGTTTAACATGAGCTACCCGAGTCTGACAACTCTCTGTACGCTAACATAAATCAAGACAGGCTTCATCGTCCCGTTGAAGAGTGGTGTTCATGCGGGGAATGCAAACTGATGGACACAGAGAAGGAGCACGTTTGCTGCAACGAATCGCATTTCATTACTGCGCATCGAGGAGAGCATCGGTGCATCAGCCAGGTTGGGATGTTTAAAGAACTTGTCGTCAGTGAGGATGGACTAGTTTACAGTAGGTACATGTATTCAATGAACATTACAGACCCTGATAAAAGAGATAGGTTTCTCAAGAAGAAGTTGAACCAAAAGGAACTACGCTTCATGGCATATAGAACCTTTATCAATATGCTATCATGTCGAGATTTCGATAGGAATGTGAGGTATATTTTGCCTGCATGTGTTGTCAGCCAAATCAGGGCAAAGTTTCCGAATGAAAACGGAGAACCCTACACAGGCTACGTTTCGCTCAAGTCGAAAGATGGGCAATCGTTGCCCTAGACATTGTAATATTACATTGTATTATCAAATTAGTAATTACGTTGTCAATAACAGTACCAGAACAATAGGAAAATGTACTTTTCCTGAAAAAAAGTATTGACATTTCTTTTTCTTAAATTTCTGATATAATGTTCCGTATTGGAATGCTTGTTTACAGTAATGAAATGCAATTATTATTCACCGCTTCCAGCCGTAGTATTGTGTTGTGAAGTATGTGTTGGCCCGACTCCAGTGAAATCGATGCCTCCTCATTTCGTAATACCGCTCTCGCGTGCGTGTTACTCCGGGTCTATTTACGTGCTACAGGGAGGGGTGGCGGAATTCTAAATTTAACCTACTTGTAGGATGTTGTATCGGCTACAAGCTAACTCTAAAAATTTGCAATTTTTTTTCGGGTGCCCAAATGACAACCATCGCTTTAAGGAGTACTTTGGAGCTGAGTTCAACAACGCTGATGAGCCTACCCTTCCTGCCTTCCTTGACCCCCCATCTAGCCTTAACAGTCCCATCACCGTTGCAGAGATAGAGAGAGCCATCAGTAAACTCAAGTCTGGTAAAGCAGTGGGTATTGATAAAGTTCCTGGCGAGGTCATGAAAGCCCTGAACAACCCCCTCCTTCATGAAGAGCTGGCTAATGTGTTCATTGTTCAACGAGTCTTTCGAGAAAAACATTCACATTGAAGCAATAGGAGCAGGCATCCTCACACCACTGGCTAAGCCTGATAAAACTCGTGGCCCAGTTAAGTCGATACGACCATTGCAATTGACCCTGCTGAATGTTTCTAGAAAGATCCTGTCACTGATAGTGCTAAACAGAATAGAGAGAGCTGTGGACAACTTCACCGGACCGTTCCAAGCTGCCTACAAAGCTGGCAGGAGCTGTGCCGACCTAGTTTGGGCACAGAGCATGCTCATATCTGTAGTAATGAAGAAGGAGTTTGAATGGAACAAAGTCAGTATCGACATGTCAGCTGCCTTCAATACCATCCGCAGAGGTACAACAATCAGAAGCTGCAGGATGCTCCAGAGACAACCTGAGGCTTGTACAATACCTCATGGCTAACACCACTCTAGTAGTCAGAGTGTGTTCTACTGACTCAGAGATGTTCTCTTTCAACATAGGAGCCTCCCAAGGAGACAGCACAGCTGGTAAATTGTTTACCCTCAATCTAGCTGGAGCTGTAGTGCACATAAGAGCAGTCCTCCCCTCAAGACCCAACCCTCCGATAGCCGATAACCACATGCCTCTTGAGTCCGGCTATTCAGACGATTTAGAGGAGATTGGTGAAGATATGGAGGAGTTACAGGATATCTTTCAGATCTCCAAGAATATTCTCAGTGAATGGAGTCTCTTTGTCAATGACACAAAGACAAAGTTTACCAGAGTGTATTTAGAAGAAGTTGGTGCCTGTGACGAGTGCGAGTGGGATAATGAACTAAGAGGAAAAGAGGAGTGGAGAAACGAGACGCTTCTTGGTACTAAGCTTGGATCAGAGCAGGATGTTACTAATAGAATAAATAAAGCTAACTCTGCCTTCTGGTCATTTGACAAGCTGTGGTGCCAGGGATCAGAGAGGTGTCAGATAACTGAGAAGAGAAAGATCAAACTCTACGACTCACTAGAAGTATCAGTGCTCCTGTACAACTGCTGCTGCTGGGCCGTACCTCAGCATGTTCTAGAGTCTGTAGATGTTCTTCAGAGGAAGCACCTCAAGCGCATCCTAACATCCTACACATATATTGGCCTAGCTCAATATCTAACAAGGCCCTCTACGCTCGTACCCAGACCAGGCCCCTTTCCGAGAGAGTGGAAAAGGCACGGTGGACAATGCTAGGTCATGTTCTACGCAGTGACAACGACACACCTGCCTACCAGTCTCTGTTATTTGCTACACTAGGATGTCAAACACTAAAGGGACGAGTGGGTAGACACAGGACTAATTTGTATGATATTATTGTGAAAAAGGACCTATTTAAGAGACAAATTTATTTAAAAAATGAAGATGATTTTACCAACTTAGTGAACTTAGCAAGAGATAGAGTAGGATGGAGGAGTTTATTTACTTTGAGACATATTGAACGAATGAGTCTTCGTAAGCGTAAATAGGCCAGCACTTTGCTGAGCCTCTTTAGGTGCTCTTTTGTTTATAGATGTTATTATATTATATAACTGGCTAAATGGCTCTTTAGATTATGAGAGCATCTATGTTTTGAAACAGAACTTCGATCTGGTTGTTTCACTTTCACACACCCCAATAGGTTCTTTACCTGCTTTAACACTTCAGGGACTTCATTTTCAATATCTTCCGCGCTATCAATTACATTTAGATATTTCTTTGAATCCTGATTATTTTTTATTTCATTCAACGATCTATGCACAAGTTCCTCATCGTCACAACTTTTCAAATTGCTTGGACCTAGTGATCTAGTTAACTCTAGCATTACCGCAATGTGGGAAATAAAGGCAAAATAATGCTTCCCTGTCACATTTGCATGGACATAATTAGTAGACAGCTTTCCTTGTATTTTTGGAATAGATTGAATAGTTTCCGATGACAAGATTGGTTTCACTCTAGCTATTGGGCATGGCTGATGCACAGTATTCTGCACCACATCATCTGTACTCTTTGTTCCATTCTGACATTCCGGGGTAGGTAAAATACTCATCATCCGACGACGTCTTTTCTTAGATTTTAGTCTTAATACCCGCTCCATGGATCGCACAATTGATAACGTAGGACACCTGGATTTTTTTCCTCCGAAAATATTGTATATATTCTGTAGGCAAGCTTCCTCTAAAGAACACCCAAGTCTGAATAAAACCTGTTGAATTGCTTTGGCCTTGATAATCTGGCCAGGTACCATGTCGTTACACTTCCACAATTCAATTTCAAAATTCGTCCTGACCGTGCATCTATCTTTAATCGTTTCGGCATCGAGCGCCTTTCTTCCGGATTTCTCCTTACAAAGTTTGTTTTTCGGCGTGGAAGTGCCATCTTCTGTGGCGAATCTTGTAGAAAGTTTGTTTAAAACAGTCTCTTTCTTCGCAATCACAGGCTTATCACCTTTTCCATCGTGTACTGGCAGTCTAATTGTACTCAGAGAACTTGTTGGAGGAGTATTACTAGAGTTCAATTTGTCCCGATTTCCCTGCTGATTCTCATTCTTGATTGCAGTTCCACCTTCAATGAGTCGTGTAGACAACTTGTTAAGTGCTGTTTCCTTCTTTGAATTTAACACTTTCTTGCTGCTGTTTATCTTATCAACATCAATTGGTCGTCCAATTGTGAATTTAGAATTGTCTACTGTGGGAGTTCTCGTGGTTAAATTATCAGTGTTAGCCCGCAAATGCTCCTTCTTCTTCAGACCCGTCGATGAAGATTTATCCATAATCGTCAATTTGCTTTGCACCGTCGGTTTCTTAATCTTTGGAATCCTAAAAGTAGGGACAGCTCTCCTCTTGAATGAGTTGCTTGTTATTATCGCAGTAGTGATAACATCAGCAGATGATTCGTCTTCAGAATCATATTGAGTTCTAGGTTTTGATGAATCAGCAGCCCTTTTTGAAGTGTTGACAACAACTGATACGTCCTCAGTAGATGGTTCGGGTACAGGGATTACAGCTGGAGGAAGCTCCGGAGTATCAATACCTGATGATGTGTCCTCAGTAGATGGTTCGGGTACAGGGATTACAGCTACAGGAACCCTTCAAGCGAATGAGCGACTCTCCTGATGCCTTCGCTAAATTGCAACGTAAACATCTGTCGTATGTGAGACTTTCCATAACCCTTCCGCACTTACACCGCCAAGCCATATTCTTTTTTCGTATTATATGAATGATTATATTAGTAAATTATACAATTATGTGTTTATATAGATACAAGGTGTTTTTTTTTGTAGAGTTATCAAATCAGTTACAACTACAGAAAACAATTGCAAGAGCGAGGCACTACTAGTACTAAAGGTCAACACTCATAATTGAGTTTAATTTGGGTAATTATGTTAAAATTTGAACCGATTAGTCAGCCAAAATCTGATTTTTAATTTATGTTAAAAAAGTTAAAAAAGTTAAAGTAATTAATGTTAAATTCCAAAATCTCGATCTTAGAATTTAACTTTTTTAACGTGGACCCCCTCCAGTATACATTAAAATACGCTCGTGCCGCGCATTCATTGACCACAGACTAGCTATACACCACATCTCCGCAAGCAATCCCCGTGCGCGTGCGCGCGGCAAGTTGACATGGTAACGAACGGAAGCAAGTAAGGAACAGGACATATATTTGACCCACCTACCGCTATCTCCAAAATCCACGTTTTTCTGCAAAAACGTCCATTCGTAACCTTTCACTATTGCCTTTTTTCAAAAGGGTGAAAAGGAAAAAATACATAAATGATAAAAACCAGGGGTATGATAACAGTCAGCTGGTATACGAATTATGCGTGATTCAACCCACCGCCATTCTTATCGGCACAGATGGTGATATGACCCATTTTATTGTATTTTTTCCTTTTCACCCTTTTGAAAAAAGGCAATAGTGAAAGGTAACGAATGGACGTTTTTGCAGAAAAACGTGGATTTTGGAAATAGCGGTAGGTGGGTCAAATATATGTCGTGTTCCTTACTTGCTTCCGTTCGTTTCCATGTCAACTTGCCGCGCGCACGCGGATTGCTTGCGGAGATGTGGTGTATAGCTAGTATGTGGTCAATGAATGCGCGGCACTAGCGTATTTTAATGTATACTAGTAATGTATAGTATTTTGTAATAAGCCCAACTTGAATGTGGCACACGTAGTCTACTGATGTTTCAATATGATTATTATAAGGTGAGCTGATTAGAGCTTATATTAATAGTTATAGTGAAATGGAAATCTAGCGCCCGCCAAAACGAAACAACGGGCGCAATTCTTGTTAATCTGTTTTTTGTTTGTTTGGGGACCAGCTTTTGGTACACTGGTTAATGTTTACTATAATATTGAAATATTACATTACAATTAGATAAATAAATAGAAAGATAGAACATACCACTATATCCAAAAATTGAAACACTGTACCGTAGCACACAACACAAAAAGTTAAACTACTGGCAAAGTGTCCTCAGAAAAATAAAAACCCTAAATATACCTAGCCTTGGTGAGACCTGCTTCGCGATTGCTATTCAGCGATGTGTGCTCCACAAGTCATCACATACCTGAGTTACAATCACGGTTGCAGTTTTTTAACTCACAATTAAAAGTTCCTCGTTATTAGCCGTAATCAACAAATACACGCAACAGCCATAAATAAGAGCCATATACACACATTTAAATCAAAGTAATTATGTAGATATCAAAAACACCGAATGTTACACCTTAACCTTATCTACACTGAAAATCTTGCCGTCTCTAATATAATGATACTTTGTTGGCTCATCAGTGATCATTTCCTTTACTTTGACAACAAGTTTCTGATGAGCTGCTCTCTCCTCCTTGCTTCTGTCAGGTGTAATGTACCATGTGTGGTACGCTGTACATTTAGATTTCTTCAGATTTCTTGCTCGAGCAAGAACCATTTTTACTGATTCCGCGCAAGCCAATGTCACTTTTATTGGTCTCGGTTTACCACTGCCTGAAGTTGTTTTAGTCCCGATAGAATTTGCTGCCACAACTTTAGGATCACACCCTGAGGATTCCCAAATCAATTCGATCACTTCTTCTGCCACTAAGTGTGGATCAGGGGAATAATTCTCCGGTACACCGTAGATAATGAAATTCTTACTACGGATGTCGTCTTCAACTACGGTTTTCACAGCTGTTTTTATACTGTTGATCGACGGAGTACTTGTAGTTGTCTCGCAGTTCTTCTTCACGATATCGCTCCACGCTGTCTTCATCTCGGTATGAACAGTTGTTTTAAAAGAGTCGAGTTGCTCCTGTTGCTGTTTAATCTGGTCTTTCTGATAGTTCAGCTGATCTGATTTAAGTTTGTCTATCGTACTGGCTGCACATTTACAAAGTTCAAGATTACTAGTCATTAGCTTAGAAAGATTTTCAACTGCAGTAGCCAAGGGATCTTTATTTACAGCCATTAATCTCGCATGATTCAGTTCTGTAACGCTTTGTGCTTTTGACATCTTCAAAATCTCATTCATCGCTGACGATAGCTCCTTTTCAAATCTGTTCAGATGTTCGACGGAAAAATCCATTTTACAAAAGCCAAGGCGTACAGCACGACGTGTCGGTGTAACAGCAAGTTGAGATAACACTACCGATAAGAGAGCAATTAAAATGTTGCAAAAGCTAGAATAAAAGATTGTAATTCGTTCAACACGCTAGTGAATTACTAGACTGAGGTCCCCAGGTGACTGATCGAGTAATCGAATATAGATTTACAATCTCTACAATATTAGAACTAAGTATTTAAATTAGTACTCCGCTACAACCCCCCCCCCTCCGCACCGACCTTGTTTTGGAGAGAAGCCTCAAAAAGGTGCGCATACGGTCGACTTTGCTTTCCTTTCCCGACGTAGAAAACTGATTTTATAAAGAGCTTGAAAACTTCCCGTGGGTTGAGAGTCTCTGCTTTTTTCGGTAAATCCTGAATTTTTTACGAAGTTATTATAAATAAATTTATCATAAATTAATGAATTTGATAAAATTATATACAAATTAAATAATGTTTTAAACTAATTACAACACTACAAATCTATTACATTTATTGAAGACGTTACAGAAGAAATTAATTTAATGTAGTTTGATGAGTCCTCACTCTCCTCACGTCCAACAATGGCGTTTCTCTTGTCGCTAATACAAATAGAATTATTTGTACAAGTTAAATGGCTCAACAGTTCAATTGTCATAGCCATAACAATTCCATTATACTATAATAAGCTGTTTAATATTGTGTGCAGGTGGTTTAACTGCGTGTATGCCACGTTGCAGTTGTAACACTAACAGCTCTCTTTAGATAAAATATAACTTAAACTTCCTGTGCTGATATATAGGCTATTGTTTGGTCTATCTTATCGTACCCTTGTGCCACCACCGGCCCTTTGCAAGCTTAAATTCAAGATTAGTGAATATTTATTGAGCTGTGCTACTGCTCAGACTCACTCACTAAACGTTTGAAGTCGTTGGAGCAGCAATAATTATGTTTCGGACCGAAAAAATTCGGTATAGTTGAATAATTAACATATGAATGAGTAAACAGAACTGCAACCCTTAACTTCCTAACTTACATACTAAAGCACCGCTTTCAAAGGATACTCCGACATTAAACCTAACTACCCTAAACCTAACTAGTAGCCTATAGCGCCGGTACTTCTAAACAGCGTCACTTATTTTAAGTGTAACCATTGTACTGCATGGGTAACACTGCAGCATGGGAGTTTGGGCATGTAGCTTTTGTTGTAATTTGAATAATAAGTGACTTGTAAGCTTAGTTTTCTTTTCAGATTGAGATTAGAAGTGTCAGTGAATTTGATGTGTGCCCATGGATTGTTCATATATCGCGTACGCTAGATTTTTGCCAGTTTCTGCTCCGTTATCACTTTTAAGCTTGATACCGTTGTTTTTGTTGTATAATAATTACACTGCTTAAGCATTTCCAAACCCCTCGTCCTCGCTCCTTACGCTAATTAAGTAATTAATTAAATGTAAAGATTGTTCTAAATTCAATCTTATTGAGGAATCTTGCGAAGGAAAACGAATATTCCAAGTACAGGGATGAGAAAGCAGTATCACGATAGTCGATAGATATTTGACCAAAACCCATAATCATGGGTAGAGTGGACCGCTGCCAGTGTCTCTCTTTCCCAAACAAAAGGAAATGATATTAATTTGATTGACCGTTCTCAAATGCAAAATGATACCGAGAATGAAATCGGTCGCTCGCTTTTCCCATTCATTCACGGCTTACAATTAATCACATGCTGTAAAATTCCTTTGGGTTGCGTTCGGGTCGATATACCTAGTATTTCGGGATAAGGGTGGTACTGGTAGTTAGTGAATTAGCTGAAGTTTATTGAATCTTTATTGCTGAGTACAGCTGCCTTCGGGTAGTTCTTCTTAATTTATTACAATTGTAAATTAATGGGAAAAGCGAGCGACCGATTTCATTCTCGGTATCATTTTGCATTTGAGAACGGTCAATCAAATTAATATCATTTCCTTTTGTTTGGGAAAGAGAGACACTGGCAGCGGTCCACTCTACCCATGATTATGGGTTTTGGTCAAATATCATCTCTTTTTGATTATAATGTCAGGGTACTTTATAAAGTCGAAATATAAACTGATGTCTTCATTATTAAGGAGGAGTTTCAACGATTTCGAAATTTTTCCTTTAAAAACATTTCCTTGTGTTTAAGTAAGCATATTGGTCTATCACTGACTGAACATAAAACATTATAATCATTCAAGTTGCCATTAAATTCATATATAATGACATTGAACTGTCGTGGTAAAGCAGAATTTGTTCGAAATCACGAATGAGCAAAATTCTCACCGTTCGCACGTGCAAACCTTGAGCGGACGTTGCGTCCGCATCCAATACTGAATCGCCGTAAATTTTTGCATAGTGGTATTTTATATATAGTTTGATAAGCGTGCAAAGTTTCAAAAGATTTCAAATAGAACTTGGATCACAACTGGACTCCAAAGTTGATAAAAATCGTGAAAACACCAATTTTCAGTGATTTTAGCAATTTTTAATCAATTTGGGCGTGTCCTCACGTGTGCAACTTTTCGATTTTCAACTTTAAAACTAGCCTAATGCACAATTTATACCTATAGGAAGCAGAACTGAGCTCCACAACCCAAGAGATAGCCCAACACCAGAGAATACTAAATCGCAAAATTGACGTTTTTATAAAATAATTTTTCAAAAAAGCACTAACTTCAAAGGCAAATATCTTTATGAAGGAGTAAGATAAGATAACTTTCCGGTAGATTTTCAGAATGCTTGAACAATTATCTAAGGTAAAAATTTCCTCAGATGTTGAAAAAAATTACTTTTAAATGGTGTAAAATCAATTTTAAAAGTTATTACTTTGTCGAAAATCAAGTTTTAAAAACGGTTAACTTGATGACGTCATCAAGGGGTGTTTGTGACGTCAAATAACTTTTGTATACAATGTAAACTAAAGTGTAAACAATTATTTTCAAGACCTGTGGTCGGAAATGGCTGTATCTTTTATACTTTTGAATCTATGGACACTTAAATTTAGGATACAATTGACTACATTTGACTGTCAAAGCGTCTATCCCTGAATAGTGAATATGTATATATCACGACAATCTGTCGTAAAACAGGGGTTCTAGAAAACCCACTTCCCAATGTTACTGAAACTCGAAACTTTTTTTGTAGTCGATTTGGTCAACGTCTAGACGCCCTGCAAAGTTTCACATCTCTAACTCAATTTTAACATGGTTTTTAAGGCACCTGAATATGGCAATTTTCGGTTTTTTACCGAATTTCGTATAACATGCTGGCGCGTATTTTGCGCAAATTTCTTAAAAAACCTCCACATAACTATTTCTTATTCCTGTCATCTTTGACATTGAATTAGAATGTTTTGAACTTAAATATACCTGCTGAACTACTTTCGATGAGTCTTAATGCCTGAAAATAATAAAGGGGTATAATAGTAAAGGGGTATAATAGTAAAGGGGGCAAATAGTATTGTGAATATAAGAGGCACGGTCATGCTTGCCAGCATTGTGATTAGATTGAGCTTGAAGTGTAATATATAAGCTTTAAGCTGACTTTTTCATCAGATATGAGAACATTCCCGCTACTTTGGATAATACACTGTCAACTAGTACCGTATATTGGGGCACGTTGTCACAGTAAATCTGTAGCGGATCCGATTGTGGAGAAAGCAGGAGATTTTATAATCGCTGGGGTATTTAACTTTGGGGAGCTTGAGGAGATTTATAACCCGTACGTTAATTCATTTGGTGCTTTATTCTTCTTCATTGAATTTCAAGTGAACATTCGCATTATTTAAATTACTTATTTAAATACTCTCTGGCCTTAAACAAGATATCATCAGCTCAAAACATCTTAAATTGACACCATCTTTCCACAGCGAAACGAACGATACAGAATTAAGTTGCGTGCTTTCTCGAAATGATGGGTCTTATTGGAGTCTACAGAGAGCATTGGGTTTTGTAGAGATCCTCAAGAACTTTCAGCCGTCCGCCGGGTACACGCTTGGTTACCAGATATTCACTGGGTAACAAAGTTTTTATTGCTATCCTTGAAGTTTCCTTTTATTGTTAAAGTGTTTTATTTAAAAGGGTTTCAGGATTTGTAAGTTTTAAGGATGGCACAACACTAATCCTACTTTTTCGGACTTAAAAAGGAATTTCGATTTGGCGAGATTTTTGGTCAGCGCACAATTAGTCAGTTAATTGATGGTGGTAAGAACCAAATTGAGGTACTGGAAGTCAAAATCCCGAATAAAATTGTAAAATCATATTGTCCCAATCTCTGTTCCATTTTCAGTTTTTGAAGATGAAATTTCCAGGACCGAAATTTTACAGTTTTGACTGAATTTCTCACCCACAACTAATTAGTAAGTCAACTTTAGGTGGCATATGACACGATTGAGGTGCTGGAAGTTTGATTTCGGTCGGAGGAAGCCCACAGCAGAAAGTTTAACAAAACGAAAAGTTGTATTTTCAAAAGTCTGTCCCATTTTCAAATATGAAATCTTCTGGACACAAATTTGACAGATTGAATGAAATTTTTGCCCACAAACCAATTAGTCAGTTAATTAATGGTGGTAAGAACCAAATCGAGGTACTGGAAGTCAAAATCCCGAATAAAATTGTAAAATCATATTGTCCCAATCTCTGTCCCATTTTCAGTTTTTGAAGATGAAATTTCCAGGACCGAAATTTTACAGTTTTGACTGAATTTCTCACCCACAACCAATTAGTAAGTCAACTATAGGTGGCATATGACACGATTGAGGTACTGGAAGTTTGATTTCGGTCGGAGGAAGCCCACAGCAGAAAGTTTAACAAAACGAAAAGTTGTATTTTCAAAAGTCTGTCCCATTTTCAAACATGAAGTTTTCTGAACACAAATTTGACAGATTGGATGAAGTGTTTGCCCACAAACCAATTAGTCAGTTAATTGATGATGGTATGAAACCAAATTGGGGTACTTGGAGTCAAAATCCCGAATAGAATTGTAAAATCATATTGTCCCAATCTCTGTCCCATTTTCAGTTTTTGAAGATGAAATTTCCAGGACCAAAACTTTACAGTTTTGACTGAATTTCTCATCCACAACCAATAAGTAAGTCAACTGTAGGTGGCATATGACACGATTGAGGTGCTGGAAGTTTGATATCGGTCGGAGGAAGCCCACAGCAGAAAGTTTAACAAAACGAAAAGTTGTATTTTCGAAAGTCTGTCCCATTTTGAAATATGAAATCTTCTGAACACAAATTTGACGGATTGGATGAAATTTTTGCCCACAAACCAATTAGTCAGTTAATTGATGATGGTATGAAACCAAATTGGGGTACTTGGAGTCAAAATCCCGAATAGAATTGTAAAATCATACTGTCCCAATCTCTGTCCCAT